ATAATTTTTGAGATTTCTATTGCAAATAATGAGCTGGCTTCTTCTTGTGCTTCTCTCTCTACCTGAGTTGTCAAAATCGCTTCTCATTTTCCTTCCATGGCTGTTAGATTTTTTTCCATCCATAACATTCACACCCTTTCCCCTAGTTTGAGTCTCCTTCCACGTAAAATACATTCTAATAATTCTTTTAAATCAACACTAATTGGAGAATGACACATGTCAGTCTTTGAGTGGTAATAAATAATTTCATATAAATATTAATAATAATATTTTTTTAAAAAAATTGATGTGACAATGCCACATCATCATTTATGACCTGGACACGTCACATCAGCATTTTCCTTCACGTGTTCTTGTTTGGTCAACACCAAACGTTGACTATTAGTTGACTAATAGTTTTCATCCAACGATGATGTTTTTTACTAAAGATGAAACATTTGGGTAAAATGTTCCAAAAAAAGCATAGGGGCAAAATTGACAATACTATCAAACAATAGGGGTATTTTGTTGCATTATGCCTTTAAATTTTTATTAATGGAAGAAATAGTTCTTAATTTGTATTTATTAACTATAATTTACAACACATTTATATATTTAATAAATACATATTAGCTAAAATAGTTAAACTAAATAAAGATTTAATAAATATATTTATTAAAATTGTTAAATACTTATTAACAAAAATTGTCAAAGTTAATAAAATTTTGATATATAAAAATTTAATAAATACATATTAATAAATATATTTATTAAATACAAATTAAGAATCTTTTCTTTCATTAACAAAAATTTAAAATATAAAAAAATTATTTTAAATTATATTTAATAAATAAAAAATAAGAATTATTTCTTCCATTAACAAGAATTAATAAATATAAAAAATATTGTAAATCATATTCATATATGCTATTGAACTTAATGGTTAAAGTAAATTCATCCTTTGTTTGAATCCATGTATCTCCCAATTTACATTTTCACTTTTTTTTTTGTTATTAATTGGGATAAATATATAAAACATGTTGTAATATAGAATCAATTGCGGAGTTTGGCTGAGTGATTAGACGTGCACATATCATGTGTTTGTCCCAAGTTTGAATCCCACTTAGTGCATAATTCATGAATTCATTTCCTCCCTCAATAAGATGGTGAAATAAATGAAAATTTAAAAAAAAATTCCAAATTGATTAAATTATTAGAGATTAAATTTATTTTAATTGATTAAATTTTAACCAAATTGATAGGATATATAAATATTAAAGACCAAATATGTAATTAAATCAACATTTGTAACTGTCACGTCACCTCCTCCATTAAAAATTAGGATAAACTACTTTAACTAATTAATTGGGTTCAATATATCCACCGTCGTTAACATTTGATGGAAGTACTGACGTGATAGTTTATAAAATTGGTATAATTATACAATTGGTTCTCAGTATTTACATATTCTATCAATTTAGACTTAATTTTAATTTAATTCAAAAAATTATTCCTCCAATCAGAATGTATCATGTTTCAATCGATTATTGAGATATATTTTAATAGTAACACGTGCCATAACCTGATTAGAGTGTTTTTTTTTTTTGAATCAATCTTAATATTTTAATTAAATAAAATTTTCTCACCAATCGGGTGATGTGTCACCACATGTTTTAAGGGAAAACAAACATAAGTGAAATATTACTACTTGAAGGGATTGATCCTGGGACCATGGACTCAAGATGGGTATGCCTCAATCATTGAAGCAAGCCTAATATTTGGTACTTGTTTGCCAAAACTGTATATATCTAGTTTCAAATTATACATAAAAAAAGAAAATAATAATATTCTAATAAATAAATTATAGGACAAACTATTTGAATGACCACCTAAATAATATTTTAATAAATAAATTATTAGTTAATACAATGTTTAAAAATAAAAATGAGTTTAAAATTTTTATATTTTAAAATTAAATTATTTTTATAATTATTTTTAAACAAGTTTAAATTATATATTATTTTTTCTTTCTTACAATATTCGTTATTCATTTATCATTTAAAAATATAATTATTTTTAATTAAGAAAATATCTTTAAATTTGATCGTGAAACATGTCGCCATCTAATTAGAGATTAAATTTATTTTAATTGAATTCAATTATGACCAAATTATAGGATGTATAAATATTCAGGACCAAATATGTAATTAGAAAAATTTTAATTACCACATCACCTCCTCCGTTAAAAATTAACTGCAAGTGGCTTGATTAAAATATTTAAATAATTGATCAATCTGATTGATTAAATTAAAACATTGGTTATCAAAATAAAATATAATAATAGTTAAGTGATCGATACCGTAGTTTACCCTAAAATCTATCACTATCATTAAACTCTCCCACTCCTGTATTAATAAAGTTACGATAAAGAAGCAAAAGTAGAGCAAAATGACATCAGTACAATATTTTTTATATTGAAATTTGACAATGACATTTGGTATAGTAAATTTGAGCCCTAAAATTTTTAATCAGTTTAGCTTGGAATCATTTTAGGAATAATTAATTTTTTTTGGAATCAACGGTTTCACCAAATTATAATTTTAGGAAGAGAACAAAATTAAATTATAATTTTTTGGAAAGGCGAATTAAAATTAATGGATATAGTTGCAAACCATCACTCTCTAATTCACTCCGATGTCATGGAAAGTCCCTATTCTTGGTTTCTTATTGTCGAAGCTTCCGTTTGACATTTGAGCTGGCCGCTTGTTTCTTCCCAATGTGAACATGTTCAAAAGTTTTAAAATTTTACAAGTTTCGCCCGTTCGAACATAAAATCTTACCTCCGTCCATGTGTGAACAGAAACATCCAAACCTTTTAATCACTCACAGATTCTCACACACTACTTTTACAAGTATGTTGCTCACTCATGTGGATAAGTGTCAACTTCCCTCAAAAAGAACAGTGGGACATGCTTCCAGAAATACTGCGCACATTTCGAAAGAATCTGGCAGTGATCGAACGATCAATCGCCATTATCAACATGAATTCTTCTCTATTTAAGGACAATCACATTCAACAAACCAAAAGTTGCATCACTTTCAACTCCGTTTTCGTTTTAGTAGCCATGGGAATGCCGCGTTCCGAAACATATGATCAAATTTTCTCAAAAAGCCTGACTAAGACCGACGTCGGCGTGAGGCTGTCTTTTCCGATGGAGGCGATGAACGTTTTCGAATTCCGTCGAGACGAAGATAAGGCGGAGTTCGATGTAACGGATGGGATGGGGAACACATGGAAATTCGGGCTCTCGAAAAGGAACGAAGCTCGACACTCGCACCCCAAACCCGTGCTGTCTTCGGGTTGGCGTGCATATGTGCAGGCAAAGGGTCTGAAAATGGATGATAGGGTCACCCTTTACCGCATTAAGGGCAAATTAGTGACCAAAACAAGATTCAAAGTTCGAGCACAGAGAAAAGTTGTGAGGGAAATCAAGGTATTTGGCGAAGTGATCCATTGTGAGGCTTCTTGGGTTGATGTTGAGAGGTTATAGCCGAGGTATCTGCTTCAATTGTATGATGTTGGGAAATTAATGAAATCGGTGATGTATGTAGGATGTATGTTGATAGATAAAAAAATTCACGTTGACATCAATAGCATAATTTATTTGCATTTATGGGTAAATTTTAGATGTATTTTATAGACATTTATAGAGACGGTCATGTAATTTGCACTTTTTATTTTTATTTTTTTAATCTTACTATAGATTCAAGAAGTTTTTAGGAGACATCACACCATCTCCGAAATCGTTTATCGGAGTTTATGTGTCTCGGTCTCTAACGTTACTTATATGATAGTTGACAATCATAATTGCACAAACTACAAATTTATTAGTATATATGATGACCTTAGATCTAACACCAAAAGATTATGCAGATTCTACAAAACGACTATTGAAGGCCTATTGAAAAAAAGTCTCATTTTAGGGGTTATTTGAGGAGCTCTTCATAATCTGTTTACACGATACAACGTGATTATCTGTCATGTAGCTATAATATATTAAAATAATATAACTTCAACAAATCATAAAAAAAATTAAATTTTTCTACTTTAAAAATAACATTATGATATTTTCGGACTTCATTTTTTTTAACTTTTTATGAGTTTTTTTATGTAAATTTAATAAATATACAATTCAAGGATAAATTACACAAATTATCACTTAACTTTTTTCTCACTCCTATTTTAATCACTTAAGTTTAAAAACTTTTAATTTAATAATTAAACCTTTTACATTAAATTTTTCTAGTCACTCCTAGATTAATTTAATGACAGAATGATCACATGGTATTTTAAATTAAACTTTTATGTTTTGAGTTGTTTCCATTTTCTTGATAAAGTTCAAGGAAACTCTGGGTTTTATTTTGGAACTTTGATGGAAAAGGTAGTTTGGTCATGATGAAGGTAACGGAAAAAACGAGTTTACAAGCGACATTTTCGGGGTGATTGATATCCACCAGATGTTAATATCAAGCCAAAAATGAACAGAAGGACATGTAGTACGAGGTGCAGGCCATCGAAAATGCCATTGTCGAAATGGGAGATGGAGGCGAACGACGGTGGAGTTGAGGAGGAGATTGAGGACGAAGAGATTGAAAATCGGAGATGGTGGAAGAATGGAAACTCGACGATGTCTTCTAGGAAGTTTGCAGCTGGATTGTGGACGTTGAGGCATCAGAGATGGTGATGACTGATGACAGAGAGAGGAGGAAGGGTCAGTTCGAGATCAAAGTGAGATTTTTAACGTGATTTTGCGGCTCCAAGATCTATGTTTTTCCTTTTCTTTCTGTGTTTGTAGCCTTCTGGTATGGTAATGAGAACAACGTGATGTGATCAAAAGTATGTTTCCTAAATTTCTTTAATTTGTTGCCCATATTTGAAGCTTTAAAAACTCGGAAGTAAAAGCGTTAAAGCAATATACAAGACTGCAGCATGAAAGCAACAGGAGGAATTCAAGCCAAGAAGTGAAAGGAAATTTCGACTTCAAACCAATCAAGCAAGACCACAAAAACCAAGTCTAAGGGCCATTTTCAAACCCGACTAAAAGTCGACTTCATCGGAGAAATTTATTTACAAATCTAGTCAAGCCAGAAAACTTTTGTATCCACTATCTTAATCAGCCAAATGTCCCGATAAAGCTGATGGACATCAAAACAACACACAGCAGCTAATGACTTATGGTACCAGGTCGGTTACACCGTCCCCTGAGAAGAAAAGAAACAGAGTTTTGACATTTCTGACATTTCCAGCTCTCTATGATCTAAGCTGGTTTAACTCAGCTGGCATTTAAGTGAGACCGGTGCATTAGTCCAGCACTTTCCATTACACGAAATACAGTAACTTTTAGCACGAATTCCTTCTCCCTCAGCAGTTCAAAGATGCACACATCCCCTTCTCCCAAATTATTCTCCAGCGTGAATTCGTACCATCCCCGGCTGAACTTAGCCTTGCCTCCTTTATAAAGACATCGTACTGACCACTGCCTCCCATCAGGAAGCTGAAGTTTAATGGATCCGGAAACCCCACTTAGATGTTTCTCAGCAAAGCAGGATGGTAAGTACTGAGAGAAAAAGTCCAAATGCATGTTAAGGCTTGCTATAGGGTGAAAACAAAAAGGACATGAACATATCAATGCTCACCATAATACACCCCCTGTATAAATATGATGGTCGCAAGACGACCCTGCAGAAAGGGTTAGCAGGCTCAAATGCTTTGGCTGCATTAATTGCTCTCTCTCTTTCTTCAGCTGTCACAGTTCTCTTCCGGGCTGAAGCACTTTCGTAACATTTAATGCGCATATCAGCATCATCTACATGTCCAGCGGATGACTCCTGTATGTCTACATTTCATTTAACCACCGATCAGAAATTCTGATTCCTTGGGGAAAAACAAAAACAAAACAAATAATCTTAGTTAAGAGGACTTACTAGGATCAACTTTCCGCTTCCTCCCACGCTTTTTTGGTTCTGATGGCATTGCACCTTAAGTATGCGGTTTCACTTCATTAGCATAATCTTTTTAAGCTCAAATGCAGTAAATGAAAAGCCATACCTCGTATAACTTGATTATTCACACCCTTTGAAGTTTGAAGGTTAACGCCACCACCCCAGTTTATGCAGTTGTTAAGTTTAGACCCACCAAACAAATTCTGCAGTGCTGGAGATATGCATTCATCATCTTCAAGTTGCTCAAATGGATATTGTTTTCCGTGATTGTATTGAGCACCAACAAGGGCGTTAGTGTGATAGTTTATTTCTGAGTTGTACAAATTAAATATACTAACACTGAAAGCAGAATTTCCCTCGTATCTGAAAACCAAAACGTAGCCAACACAGATATAGTAACGCACTAGAAACTCCAGCCAACCTTCCTGAAACCAAACCTTGTCGTCGGCTTTCTTTATTCCTACACGCCAAACATGACCGTCAGGAACAGTGAGAGCAGCAGCAACAGAAAGTTCATCCCTGAATTTCTTAACAAAGTTATCAGGGATCCTCTGCAGACACCCCAAATCAAGTTAGGATTATTTATCTGATGAATATTAGAACCGTGATTCAGATGGATTTAGTGAATAATTTGCAGAAGCACTTTCATAACATTGTGAGCTTAAACCTCATGCTGGGTGAAGAAATCTACTAATCTGTCCTCGTACCTAAAGTAATACTAGCATCAACATGAGAAGTTTGGATCATTTCAAAGAAAAAGAATATGCGTTGTAACACATATATACGGTAAGCATAATCATAGTTAAAAACGAAATCCATACATAAATTTTCAAAAGACTAAACATCAAGAAAAGGGAAAATTATGAAATTAAGATGTAGATGAACTTTCTTCTCTTGCTCATAGATCATTATGAGAAAGCCACGACATTTGATCTATTTGATGAATTTTGCTAGCAGTATAACCCAACGAGAAATGCCAAACAAGTAGATGCCCGTCAAAAGATTCCCCATCCAAGTAATATACACCAAGGATGAAGATTGAAATAATTAACACAGCCTGAATTATCTTGCAATTTTCAAATTTAGTACAAATTACCTTCTAAAGGTTGTTTCTTTATCAGAAAGATACCCAAGTAATATACCCATGTCCTAAGAGATCCTTCCTAGAATATGTATTCTATATAGAGCCTGTGGCACTTATACTTTTCTGGTTCTGATAGATTTCAATAGTCTCACAAACATGTATTTTACCCGGAATAATAAAATAACAATTCATTGGCCTCAGGTACTCAATTAAATCTGACAAATCCAGGAATAAAGAACTTTATTTTATCGTTATATAGACTTGCTACGTCTTCCTTATTCCCCACAATGCATACAGTAAGATCAAAGAAAATGCATAAAAACTACCAACTTAAAATCCAGTGGATGAGTCCAAATGTAAAAACTACTAAGCAATCACTCACATGCAGGCGAGACTACAGGAGGTAAACTCAAATGATAGATAGAAAATCAATGAAAATTACACCCATTCAACATTTCTACATTTATAACCTAGAAAAATCCATAAGATAGAATTATCACATCATTCCAAATGAGTGAAAATTTAAGGAAAATTGAGTTCAGCAACAAACATTACAATTCATTAGGTATATATATACTAAAATGAAGTAACACACATCATGCATCAACGATTGATCTCAAAATGTATATCTCCACGGCTACACAATAATAGGATATGCCTAGTAAAATGAACTTGAAAGTGAACATTGAGATCTTGGGTTTATTTCACCAAGTTCATCAAGTAGGCAAACAAACTTGTAGGATTATTTGAGGAAAATCATACCACTCCAGCTATCAATTCAAAACTTAGACTAGTTTCTTCAAATCTTTCTACTTTTTGTATAATTCCACCATGTCTTAACCTCCGAATCTCCTCCCCGAAACTAAAAAATACACTTCAAAGCTCAAACCACAAAGGGGAAAAAACACAAACCAAACATGGAAGGGAAAAACATATAACAAAAGCAACAGATCTCCATCATACTCTAATTTTCCAAGGCTCAACTTTGTCCCACAGAAAAACTTCTTCCTGAAATACTAAATCACCCGCTAAAAAGGGGGGAAATTATCTTAGTAATTTTGGGTCAGTAACAATACACGAGTAGTCAAATAAAGAATAATAACAAAAACTAAGATTAAAGAGCAATAAGAAGAGTAAAGTAAGAGGAGGAGAGAAAAAAAAGGGTTTCAGACTTGAGTATTTTTACCAGTTTCTTTTCTTGAAGGGTGGTGGGGAGAATAAGCTTATGGAAAAAAGGGTGCGGCATTTTGGATAAAAGGTCAGATCATATAATGATGTTGAGCTTCAGTTTGAACGAGACTTGGGTTTTCCTTTCTGAAATTTCTAAGTCTATTGTGCATGGATATCTATGAATACAATTCTACTCTTTCATCTCTCCCCCAGATAAAAATGACCCCAAAAAAAACCAAAAAACAAAAAACACTCAACACAGATGAACAAAAAAAGGAGAAGTTTCAGATCTGGGTCTTTCTCTTCTGCTTCCCACTGGTTCTTCCTTCTAGTCAAATACTGTTTTTAAATGCTTTAAAAAAACTTTAAAAAAAAACTCGACTTCACCTAGAAGTAAACCCAGTTTCATCACATTTGTCTACTTACGCGCTCACCCATTCACTCACTTCCCGAGTTATAAAACTCGGTTGCTTAAAACTCAGGCACTCTATGTGCGTCCAACTAACTTCCGCCTTTGGGTTTTTTAGTAGTGGAAGGTTTTTCTTTTCCGGATAAATTATATCATTGACCATTTAATTATTATCTATTTTTAATTGGACCACTAATTTTAAATTTTATTAATTAGGTCATCTAATTATTTAAATACATTCAATCAAGTCACTTGTTAACTTTTAAGGAAGGAGGTGACATGGATGGTAGTTAAATAAATTGATATAATTATATATATGGTATTTAATATTTATATATTCTATCAATTTGATCATAATTTTAATCTCCTAATTAACAAAATTTATTTTAATAAATTTAATCTCCTAATTAGATAATAACATGTGCCACCACTTGATTGTATGCTATTTTTTTATTTTAATTTTTTACCAAATTTTATATGTTTTTTTAATTTTCAAAAAATTATAATTTTATTCTTTTATAATTGAAAAAAATGAATTTTTATATATTTTTAAAAAAATTATAAAAATTTTATACTCTTTTGAAATTATATTTTAAATATATTAAAAATATATCAAAATAAAATTTTTATAATTAAGGGTAAAATGAGGTATTGATTATTGAGTTAAGATGTCGTCCATTTAACGATAAAAAAATATCTAAGTGAATAAAATATTATTTTTTAAAATGAATGACTATTATGTAATTTTATAAAATTCACTGAAGCAAATGATGAAAATTCATAGTTTAGAGATTATTGGTTTGTCATAATTTGGTTTGTCTACTTTTATATCAATATTAGTTAGACAAAGTTAATTACACTATTAATTGTTATAATTAAAGTGATAAGTAAAAGTTATTTTATTATTATTTAATCACACAATTAAAATTATGTGAAATTTTATTTAATAATATTCAATTAATAATAAATTTACGTTTTGGTTGAATAAATAAGATTTTTTTTAAAAAAAATAGGTGACTAAAAAATGTGCTAAAAAGAAAGATCCCATAATTAGAAAACAAAACAGCAACAATGGTGAGTTTGGTTGAACTCGTTGTGGGGAGTGAGTTGAGTTTGGATAACTGAGTCGAAAGATACTGTGGACAGAGCGGTGACCCCAGCAATTCTGTCAGAAAGAAGATCCTTAATTTATTCCATTCGTCAAAGACAAGGTTTTTAATAGACACGTGTCAAACCAGGGTGGAAAGGACCACTCCAAATCACATGCACAGCAAAGATAAATAGCTTAAATTTTAGTATCTAAACTATTAGTTTGGATCTGTTTTTATATTAAATTTTTAATTTTTTTAAAAATATACATAAAGTTTAATTTTTATTTCATTTTAGTATCCTCCGATAAAAAACTTAGTTTTTGTTTCAATTTAGTATCTCGTTCAAAATTTAACTTTAAGTTTTGAAAAAATTAAAAGTTTAGATACTAAAACAGATTAAACTAATAGTTTAAGTACTAAATGCGTTAAGTTTTTAATGACGAATTACTAAAATGAAATGAAAACTAAACGTTTGGTATGATTTTAAAAAAAATTACAATTTTAATTACTAAAATGGACCAAAACTAATAATTAAGGAGAACCCGAAATAGCCTAAAATACATTTTGTTAATACAAGAATAAAAAATGATAGATATTAATTGTAACGGAAAATATTATGTTAGAGAATAAAAAATTATTTAAAATTGTATAATTTTTGGTAGTAAACTCAAAAACCATCGCAATATAATATTTTCGGTTACAATCGAAAAATATATATTTGTATGCACTGAAGCAATGATGGAAATTCATAGTTTAGAGATTATTGGTTGTCATAATTTGGTTGTCTACTTTATATCAATATTAGTTAGACAAAGTTAATTACACTATTAATTGTTATAATTAAAGTGATAAGTAAAAGTTATTTTATATATTTAATCACACAATTAAAATTATGTGAAATTTTATTTAATAATATTCAATTAATAATAAATTTACGTTTTGGTTGAATAAATAAGATTTTTTTAAAAAAAATAGGTGACTAAAAAAAACAAAACAGCAACAATGGTGAGTTTGGTTGAACTCGTTGTGGGGAGTGAGTTGAGTTTGGATAACTGAGTCGAAAGGCACTGTGGACAGAGCGGTGACCCCAGCAATCTGTCAGAAAGAAGATCCTTAATTTATTCCATTCGTCAAAGACAAGGTTTTTAATAGACACGTGTCAAACCAGGGTGGAAAGGACCACTCCAAATCACATGCACAGCAAAGATAAATAGCTTAAATTTTAGTATCTAAACTATTAGTTTGAATATGTTTTTATATTAAATTTTTAATTTTTTTAAAAAATATACATAAAGTTTAATTTTTATTTCATTTTAGTATCATCCGATAAAAAACTTAGTTTTTGTTTCAATTTAGTATCTCGTTCAAAATTTAACTTTAAGTTTTGAAAAAATTAAAAGTTTAGATACTAAAACAGATTAAACTAATAGTTTAAGTACTAAATGCGTTAAGTTTTTAATGACGAATTACTAAAATGAAATGAAAACTAAACGTTTGGTATGATTTTAAAAAAAATTACAATTTTAATTACTAAAATGGACCAAAACTAATAATTAAGGAGAACCCGAAATAGCCTAAAATACATTTTGTTAATACAAGAATAAAAAATGATAGATATTAATTGTAACGGAAAATATTATGTTAGAGAATAAAAAATTATTTAAAATTGTATAATTTTTTTGGTAGTAAACTCAAAAACCATCGCAATATAATATTTTCGGTTACAACCGAAAATGTTATATATTTGTATGACTCTTTAGGTTGAACATGATAACAATTTAAATTGGAAAGCGTCTTATATTATTTTTTTATTAATATAAAGTTATTACAAGCGATAGTATTTGTTCTAGATATTTTCAATCATTTAACAATAAACACTCAAATAACATGTTGTAAGTAGTCGCGTAGTAGAATCACCCACTTTTATTACTTTAATATAAATGTTTAATTATTTTTATATTATAGATGTTCCCTGTGAGGAAAAACATGTGAAGTAACGCTTCAAGATAGGTTAATATATATTTTTCTAGAGTTTTTTTTAATTAGTTTGGAATAATTACTTTTATTTAATATTTTAATTATTTGATAATATACATATATTTTTGTAAAGTAGTTACTTAAATTTAACCACATTAAAGTTATTCACTAGTAAATTCATATGTTGGCAAAGTTTGATATCACGTACCATCAAGTTTTATCTTTCAGAAAAATTTACAAGTCGGGAACACCTTGAATGCTTTATACGTAAACCATGGAAACTAAGAAGTTTGGTCTTAAAGGGTTTGACCTTGCATTTTCACATAATTTTTATCTTTCAGAATTTTTCTCGTTTCCGACATATAACAATCATTCATTCATCTCTTATCTCCTCTCATTTTTACATAAATTTCCTTCATAATTGAATGATAGAAGACCTTTATATATGTACACCGTCGTTGTCGTCGTCCACTTGACTTGATCCAATTTGGTTTGTGTCCGTGTTTGTATTGACACATACCTTTGATATATATCGTGCACATATATTTTTTAAAGAAAATATATATTTTTTAAAAATTATAAATGATTTTTCTCCTTTATTTATAAGTTGGATAGACTTGAACGTTTCACACAAAAGTTAAAAAGATTATCACAATTTTTAATATGATTTGGGTCTTTCTGGCTATTAAAACAACTTTTAAACTCACTCTCTCGGTCATTGAATTTTTGCACATTTTGACTGTTTCGACGTCTTAAATGACTATTCCTGCATTGCCATTGATAAAATAAGAATCAAGGAGAAAGCTACATAAAATTTTATCCAAACATGTATATTACAAAATGGATAATTTAACATTTAATATTTCTTTTATTAAAATTTTAAATACAAATAACTAAATATGTTGTATATTATTATGTTATAATATTATTTATTATTATACATTAAATTTATGTGTTGAGTAAAAAAAATATGTGATATAAATGAATTCTTATATATTGTAAATTTAAAAAAATCTAATCAATTTGGGTGACCAAAACGAAACAAAAACTTAAATTTAGTGATGATTTTGAAAACAAAAAAAGTTGATGACCAAAATAGAACCGCATGAATAGTTGAGTGACTAAATATGTAATTTGCCCACATTTTTTTTAACGGGATTGACAGATTGAGACAATAAAGTAACGATTTAAACTTTAGGGATAAAAAATCCTGAAAAATACTTTAGGGGACAACTCGATATAAATTGCATAATTTATGAATAATGGTGCATTTAAGCCTTTATAAAAATTTAAAGTAAATTCACAATAGATTAGATAAATATATTTTCTCTTTTGGAGTTGCTATTTGCTATACTTAATGTATTTATGGGTAAAGTTATTTCAAGGAATCAATGATAACAAGTAAGTTGGTAAAGCCTTTAATAATATTGCAAAGAAAAGGAAAGACTTGCTTCATATTCATTCATATATTGCATTTATAAAAAGGAAACAATTGATTCTTTCAATTCACATCATATCAATAGGCATGTTGCTGGTTCAAAATATTATGCATATTAAATTCCAATATATTTCCAAACTTGAAAATAGAATCATATGAGCTTTCTCTTTCCTTAATCTCCCCTTTAAATAGGATTAGAATTATATTTAAATTTGTCAAAAAAAAAAAGAATAGAATCCATAAAACGATCTCGATAATAAAAGAAAATATTGTTTTTTAGAGGTTCTGAGCTTTATTAGCTATATTTGTAAGTGTGCGTGTGTTATCAATGGGTTAATTAAATTCTGAAAAGAAGTACTACTTGTAACCACTCCCGACTATTCAAAAAATCTTAAATAGATAAAAGAGAATTTATATAAAAAAATCTTAAATAGATAAAAAGAAATCCTAAAAGATACTATTCCTTATGTCCCACTAAATGTGTCTATTATTGACTTTTAAAAAGTAAAAAAATTTAAACTTGTCCATGATTATTTTAAATATTTTAAAAAATTAAGTTTTATAAAATATATATTTAAAACTACTTGATTTAAAGTTTTAAAATATATTTTTCATATTTTTATCAATAATAAATTTTAAATAATGATGAGTCAAAGTTAAAAAATTGACAAAAAAGTCAACAGTGACAAATTTAATGGATAGAAAGAGTACTTTATAATAATTCCAACTATTCATTAACTAAAGCTAATTAATTTTACATTAACATAATTTCATCTATCTTTGGACAAGCCATATGATGTATTTTTTTAAAAAAAATTCTTAACTTAATTGTAACACACACCCTGTAGATGAAGTTACTCAAACTTGGACCTCTAGGAGAATAATATTCTCTTTTATCACTGAGACCACTCAATAAATTCATAAGATATGCATATACATTTCTTCATATTCCTTTTCACATGTATAAGTAAACTTTGTAATGTTATTTAACAAATTAAATACCATGTAAAATTATAAAATCTATATATAGTCTTATTTTTTAATAAATGGATACGGTGGAAAATTATTGATGGGTGTTGGGAGTATAAATGAGTCAATAAATTGATGGGAAGAAAGAATTTATAGAAAAATACAGTGAAAAACCCTAATGAATATAATAAAAAATTGAGGGACTAAATTATAAAAAAAAAAAAATTGTAGTTAAAAATATGAATTGAAGTTACATATATATTCAACAATGAAAGAGGAGCATGTGGTTCAAATCCAATAGAAATGATCTTAAAACAAAAGAGGAATGAAGAGATCATGCAAAGTTGAAGGATAAAAATGTAAAAAGAGAATTTTTTTTGTCAAAAAGAGAGATCGGGGTTATATAGATATTCTACAATGATTAGAAAACATGTGATTCAAATTTGATCAAATATGAACATAGACAAAGAAGAAATAGAAGAAATAAAAAAATAGAGACCAAAACATAAAACAATCGAATTATTTAACTCATTATCAAATTAAAATTTTAATTTTTAATATTTATTTATTCAAATTTTATGAATTCAAAATCGAAATTTCAATTAACTTGAATAACTTAAACCTATTTTTTTTTCTAATCGAATCAAATTTTACTTCTCTTTAATTTTATGCATTCAATGACCTTAATCAAAAGGAAGAGAAAGTGGGTGTCTTTGTTATCGCTTTACTTGAAGTCGAACTCACTGCATGTGAAGGATAAGCTATGAAATTATAAACAAGGATGGATGTTTACATTAATTTTTAAATAAAATGAATATTAATTATATGACCAGTGATGGATCGAGGGAAAGAGCGAGATGGTGGATTTTCTAAATTTTTTAAATTTTTATATATTTTATATTTTTATTAAAAATATTTTTTTACTCTAAAATTTTATAAGTTCATATTCCTTAAAATTTTATGAATTCGTCTTGATAATATTGTAGACATTTATTTTCGTCCAGTGTCTTTATTATATTGTATATATAATAATTTCAAAACATATAATATATCGTTTTTGAAAACTTATTTAAAAAAAATATATATATACTTTTTTTTAAAATAGTTTTGAAAGCATATAATATATAGTTTTTAAAACGGTTTTGAAAATCATATAGTATACAGTTTTTAAAAAAATAATTTTAAAAATGTATAATATATAGTTTTTAAAATAGTTTCGAAAATATATAATATATATTTTAAAACAGTTTCGAAAACGTATAATATATAATTTTAAAAAAGGTTTTGAAAACATATATAATATAATGGTTTTGAAAACATTTTTGAAAACGTATGTTTTGAAAACGTTTTGAAAACATATGTATAGTTTTTGAAAATATAATATATGTTATATAGTTTACATGTTATATTATATATTATTTATACTATTATTTATTATTTATTATATTATATTATTTAGTTATTCATTTAAATTCATTTTTTAACAGGTCTAAATCCGGTTTCAAAAGGTTCAAAGGTCCAAGTCCAAGGCCTAACCGGGTAGCCTGACCCAGTAGACCCAGTTAAAAGTCCAAATCGAATTAAGGTTTCGTACTAAGCAAAGGGCGTCGCACGAAGAAGTAAATAGCTCGCGTGGAGGCCACGTGACCGACCGAAATTCCCGGCCAAGCAACCTGGGACTGAACCATCACAGGATTTCTGACCACACGAACAGCCGAACGGCCAGAGTAAATCAGAATGGGGAGAACGAGTCCCGAAATAGTCAGAAACAACCCCGACCGGGGGCTATATAAATACCATAGCAACAATAGAGAAAATCAAGAAATCGAGCAGCAAAATACCAAAAATCCAAGCTACCAGAAAATACCAATACAAAAATCGAGCCAAAAAAACAAAGCTCGAAGCTTTGTTGCATCGCAGGCCGTCGGAAGTACATAGGAGCATCATCGGAGAAGAAAAGACGCTAGAAAACAAAACATTTCCCCCCAAAAAGGTAAAGAACCGAAGTTTGTTTCTCAGATCTACGCCGATTGGATTTGTTTTGGGACAAACGAACTTGGGTTTTAAACTTACGGGGACGAAAGGAATGTTTTGGGGTGAGTTGAGTTTTTCCGGCCATCAGTGATGGTGGCCGGAGCGGCGGTCTGCGGTGATCGGGACGATGGGGGCTTCGTCGGAGTGTGGTTGACCCATGGCTGGTTGGGGGAAAGGTTGAGAGGGTTGAGAGAGTTTGGGGAGTGTTTTTTGAAGTTTGGTGAAAATGATATTTTTGGGTGTTTTAAAGGCTATTTATAAGGGGACCTTGGTGTAATTAGCAAATATTTAAATTATTTTCGCAATCCCTGCAATTTTGATGCGTAATTTGTTTTGGTCCATGTTGTAAATTTGCCCTTGAATTTCAAATTTATTCAATTTAATCCATATTTAAATTTTTTTATTTTTTGCAAATTAACCCCTCCCAACTTTTATTTTTCTTGCAGCTTTCAAATAATATCAATTTGATCCTCAATTTTAATTTTTTTGCAGTTAAATCTTTTTAGTTTAAAATTTTTATTTATATTTCATAATTTAATTTTGTTTTTCTTTAATGTTTAACGCTGATTCGATTTATTTTTTAGGTCAATTTTAAATTCTTCAATGGTAAGTAATTCAGATTGAACTTTTTAAATTTTAATTTGACTTTTAATTTTTGCCATTAAGACAACTGAGAAATTAAATTGGTACCAAAAGGGCAGTACAAGGGTGCTAATCCTTCATTGACTGTAATCGACTCCCGAATCCGACATACTTCTGGTAAAATTCAGATCAGGTAAGAGGGTAAATTAAGATGTCCGGTCAACCTAACTTTTTTTCTCTAAAAAAAATAAATGACTGGTGGCGGCTCTAACATGTTTTATTTAAGTCGAATCCCGATTCCGGGCTCACCCGAGGGACGGTTACGACAAATATAAAATTTTAAGTATACGCTAGATACGTAACTATTCAAACTTAATACCTCTAAAGAGAATAACAATTTCCTTAATCATTGAATTCACTTAATGTTTTAGTATCATAAATTTTATATCTTCCCCTTACCTATTTTCCCCATATTTTTTAACAATTTGCTTATGGGTAGGGATGGGCATGGGTCGGTTTTCGGCCAACCCAACTCGACCCGAAAATTTACATCATTCACCCAACCTGATCGACCCAAAAAATATATACCCTTCACCTGACCCGAACCCAATCCAATTTTTTGAGATAAAATTCAACCCGACTAGACCCGACCCAAAATAATAAAAATATTATTTGTATTCAATAAAAACAATGATTTAATTGAAAAAATAATATATAGAGGGATATTATTGTAATTATTCCTAAATATATAAGGTAAAATTATATTTTTTTGGTTGGGTTATGTCAGATATTTTCACCCTAAACCCGAATCTAACCCGACCAAACATCACCTTAAAAACCGACCCGACCGACCCCAATTTAAAAAAAAATCCAACCCAATCAAATCAATTTAAATCAAATCGAAACCCGGGTATCTAAATTTTTCATACCTTTCTTTCATGAATGAATTTCTTGTAGCATAATTGTTTTTAGTTTTCCGAAGTTCAAACGCGAAGCCCAACTCCCATGTTAACCGTTTTCGAGACAAAGATCCACGTGTCATGCCGATCCAACCGATATGGCGCGTCCTACGTTACTTACCCATGAATCATGAACAACCATACCGACAACATTAACATCCCCACCATTTTGTCTCAACGATCATATCAAAATAAATAAATAAACACAAATTTATTACAAAATATTTTCCCTACATCTTCATTCCTTTGAACAGTATATAGCTTTATACACACATTCTGGTATGTTTCTTGTTTGATATTTAATCATTTGTACTGAAAAGAGATGTTTTTCTTGGTTGGAGTTCAGTATTTTGAAACATTTTAAGTTATTTTTCTTTGTTATTATCATCACCTAACAAAGCAATGGAATTCGTTTTGTTTTCTTTTTAATTCATATATTTGCAGGGAGCTGATTAGAAAAAGATCAGAGAGAAGGGGAGGAGTGCCCATCATGAAGATCACAATGGGGGCGATGATGGTGATGATGATTGGTGCGGTGGCAGGTGATTCTAACGGCGTTTACAGCCCATGTGAGGATGCCAAAGTGCAGAAATCCGATGGATTTACGATCGGTCTTGCGTTTTCAAAGAAGGAATCCTTCTCGTTTCAAAATGTTCAGCTTTCTCCTTGTGATAGTCGTCTTGGTTTAGCCAAAAAGGGTGCCAAATTAGCTGTTTTCAGGCCGAAGGTCGATGAGATTTCTCTTCTTACCATCAACGGCAACACCACAGTAAGTTCTTTCGTCTGTTTGGAACTCAATTTGTTTTACATATTTTGCCATAGAGACAGATTGTGAACAATTATTGTTTGGGGTTTTCAGCTTGAAGCTGGTGGATACATGGTAGCATTTGCAGGAAGGAAATATGCAGCCAGATCATTGCCAATAATGGTTGCCGATGCCAATTACACCATAACCCGTTTCACTCTGGTAAAAAGGCTTATTAATTGTTTCCTTGGTTTAATTATAATTGAAATTCAAGATTTAATCTTTCAACTTCAATTTAAGTTGTTTCAACATAGAAAAAGGACTAAAACCGATATTACACCTTATTTTTTCTTTGCTGGGTTTTGATTCCGTAGGTTATGGAATTCAAACAAGGTACTCTACAGAATCTATACTGGAAAAGTTCGGGCTGTGATTCATGTTCAGGGAAATCAGCTACATGCCTGAACAAACAAGATTGTGCCAGACCGACCCCAAAATGTGGGCAAAACGGGTGCAGTTTGGGCATACAGTCGGCATTTTCAGGGACAGACAAGAACCTTGAAGTCCTCAATTCATGGTATGAAGTCAGTAAACTCCGACAACAATCGCTCATTGATCTCTACTCGGATCTGCGCGACAAGTTTTTCTACGAGATGACTCTATAACTGGTTTATGTTTGGACTGGCGAGCTAACCAGGCCGAGTTGATAGCGACTCAAAATTATGGCTTTGCTTTACGTCGTAAACTGATATGGGATTTGGCTGTTTTTGGGGCCAGTGATTAGCAGTTATCGTTGACGATGATATACTATGCTTGTTATTGGGTTCCACAGTACGTTTTATTATCACTTTGGGTTATCTGTTTAGGTTCAGACCGTAAGTATAAATTGTTCATGAATTGGATTAGGTGGATATTAATTAAACTGATTAGCATTTTAAAATTTTTTTTAAATAAGGTTTAAAATTAATATGTTCACACTGCCCAAACAAAAATATGTGATATAACCACTTATTTTCAATCAATTTATTGATTGACTAATTCAGTTCGAGTATTATAAAAACCCATTGTAAAAGCGACCGTGCTAATCTAATTCTTTTCATTCACAATGTTAAGATTCAAACCTCTAACTTTACTTCATAAATCTAATACCTCATCCCAGTAGATTAGCAACAAACAAAAATAATTTACATGTTCATTTAAGAGATTAAATGTTATTAATTTATAGTTACTGTCACATCCCAATTTAAGAGATTAAATGTTATTAATTGAATGGATTAAAGTAGTAATAAGGAAAACGTTGAGGACTAAGGGTATAATTTTACTAATTTTCTATTGTGGAGAGTTTAAAACTCCTCCATTTATGAAGAATTCTAAAAATGGTAAGTTTTTTTCTCTCTCTTCTTCCCCTTTCCTCTTTTATTTCTCTCTCTCCTCTAGCATATTTCATCGTCATTTTGTCGTCGATTAGTCGTCCATTGACGACACCACCGACACTATCGTATTCCTGGCATTGATAGGAGTCTACTGGATGTTGTGGTGTCGCCGTCAAAGAGAGTGAGAAAGGAAAAGTTCGATCGTTTCGAATGGTCAATTTTTGTCGTTCTCCGCAAATCTTTGTCGAAAAACGATGCTTGTACCAGAATCTCGAGCTGAAGATCTACAAATCTAGAGTTTTTGGTCGTCGGCGGACCACTAGAGCCGCCGCACTCACCGAACGTGCCACCTCCTGTACGTGGGCGTCATCTGCGAGTTGGGGAGTTCCTGAACCGTTCTTGATCGGTCCAAACTGCCTGAACAGATCTAGATCACCTGTCCGAGAAGACCGAGCTGCCCTACCGAGCCACCGAGCCATCCAACCGAGCCGTTCGAGTTGATCGACAGAGCCGATCGAACTGTTGACCTAGCTAACCGTCATTGAGCGGTCGTTGACCAGTGTTTACCAACCGTTGACTGGTGTTGACTTTTTCCATCACCATCTATCTTGATTTTTTTACATAATGAGTCCGTTTATGGAACCCATTTCGCCAAATTCAAACCCGATATACTTTTTTTATCGTTTTATCTTGTAATTCGATCCATTTTCCTCTGTTAAGACCTGTTTATGATGCAATTTGTTTTGCTATGTATCCGAGATTTTTTTGGATGCTGAAATCAAGTTCGAGGCCATTCAAATGGAGTCAAAATGACAGACTAGGGTGGCTCAAAAACCGAAGTAATACAATACTACTTTTTGCAAGCATTTCAGAACACATTGATATTGGTTTTGCATGAATGATTATTATTGGTCAATTAGGTATAATTAATGATCTTTAGGCTCAAATTGAATTCCGTAAAGAGTTAGTAAACTGTATAAATAATTACAAAAAATACCCTTAAGGATACAAATGTGACGTGTTTTGCCTCTGATTGTGGAAATGATAGAAATTTATGTTGGACCTAAAATAAGCCCTGAACCATCTGTTTAAGTTCATGATATGTTTAAAAAGAACTTAGAATTTCTGATTTTTGAAATAATCAGCCAATGACTGAATTGCTAGAAATAATGCATGCAACGAAATCGAAAAAATGATCAAAATACCCATAAACCCTAAAAGAATCAAAATACCTTAAACTCTAAATTGACCGAAGTAACCTCGAATATTGCCACTTAAAGTTTAGAGCTTGACCCATGCAAGTCAACTATTTTGGATACTATTAATTTAGAAATAAATTAAACACCACCAAAATACATGTTCGTCTTCTGAATATCTATTCAATGTTGATTCTAAGGGAGATTCATTCAACTGGTGTAGACAATATTAAGAAATTAATATCTGTGAAGTGTTTCAGCTGAATGATTGGAAAGTGTCGCAGTGTTGGAATTTGATTAGTCCACTTGACTCAAAGCTGATATTTTGTTATACATTCTAAAAATTGCAAACCATCTCTTGACCTTTCTTGGGTTAAATCGTTAAGGATTCTTCAGGAATCAAAATGTCTGAAATACCCCTAATGGCTTGAATAGTTGGATCACTTTTATTATGTATGGATCTTAAATAACTATGATATAAAGGTTATTGAATTCATTCATAATACATTCGAATCGTAAATGGTCATGAAACATCAATTTCTAAATGTTTATGAGATATGTTAACGGATGAACCCCTTAATAGGTACCTCGATTCTGAAATCATACCAATCTACATAAGTCTCACATTTTCCCTCCATGATAACTACCAAGTGCCTTCAAAAAATATCGGGACCCTCTAGTGTGTTCCCGTTGTGCTATATTTATTTGTTTTAACTGATTTTGAAAGCATGATTTTGTTTACTGATTTTCCTGAGTTATGATTATATTGATCTAAAATTTTTGATTTTCTGGCACTTGTTTTCTGGATTACTGTTACTGTAAAATGTTTGATTTATGATCTCCTGATTTTACGTGTGCTATCTGAAACTGTTTTATTGAGGTATTGTCTGGGTAGGTGTCTGGAGACTCTGAGGTTCAGTTAGCTGGTAATTCCTTTTTGTTCTGATCATTCATATTAGACTCCTAAATCCTAGTGGTCTAGGGTAAGTGTTGAGTTAATCAATCGATGAATATGGCCAAGAGGGGGGTGAATTGGCAAATAAAAATTTCGGTGGAAGCTTATGCAGAAAATTGAAAGTAATTGCGCATCGATTTAGAGTGGTTTGACTTTCTCAACCAAAGTCTACGTCCACTACCTTAGCTATCCACACTAAGGATTTTCCACAAATTCACTAATTTGTCTTTCTTTTGAGGACAAAGAGTAACCTTACAAATCCCTCAAGAATTATACCCCAAATTCTTGAGAACACTCTCTCCCAAAGAGAAGAATACAAATTTTGCAAACTTACAAGAAAATCCTCACAAGGCAATATGTTTGCACAATTCTAGAACAAAGAAAAAACACTCAAGAATAATACAATTGAGCACAACAAGTGTTCTTGAAAGAAAAAATGAATATTGAATGAAGTAGGCTTGAAAATGCTCAAACTTGAGGTTTGATGCTTTCTTTTTGATTCTCTCTTGATTCTTGTTGATTGTTGTTTCTTATTGTTGATCAATGGCTTCTAAGCTTGTTTAAATACACCTTCAATTGATTCTGAACGTTGGGGATGATTAGTGGAGTCAATGGAGCCGTTTTAGTGTGAAAGCAATTAATAAAACAGCTTGGAGCATGGGGGAATCAGTACCCCCTCATGGGGAATCGATTCCTTAAGTGTAAAATTCAAATATTTTGACCGTTGATCAGGGGGAATCGGTCCCCCTTGGGGGGGGGGAATCGGTTCCCTCCGAGCATTCTGTTTTTCTCGAAGCCAAACCATTCAAGGGGGAATCGGTACCCCCTGGGGGGGAATCGGTTCCCTCTGGACATACTGGAATTTTTTTGGCTTTGAAATGGTTCGAAATACTTTGTAAAATTATTTTGAAATTATTTTAAGATTAAAACTTAATTTTACACTTGAGTAAGGATTAAAAATGACATTTGAAAGATTTGGAGTAATATTTTGATATTCGAATAATTATATCGAATATACTTAGAAAATCTTTTGGAAAATCTTAAAATTCATTTATCTTAATTTGTTATATCGAAATATCAAAATGTATTCAACAATCTCCTCCTTTTTGATATAACAAAACATTTTGGTAATTTTAAGATTTTGAAATCAAGTTTTGAAATTACCCCCCCTTACTCTAACACTACTCCTTTTTAAAACGCTTTTAACATTTCTCCCCCTTTTTGTTAAATCAAAAAGAATCGTAAAAGATTTTAAACAAGGTTTTAAAATCATTTAGCTAATTGATTATATATAGTTTAAGCTGCTAAGATCACAATCAAGAGAAACGTTAGCCATTAGTTTCATAATCAATATTCATAAACAATGTGACATGGCAAAATTGGTTATATATCTAACATGATGCAATAAATTTAACCAAACCAAATATATAGAAATATAAATTCAAAATTCATAAATCCAAAAAAATTCAAGGTCAAACAATCCACAAATTCAAACATTCCAAAATATCCAAAATGTTAAAATAATAAGTTTGAAGTTTTGATCCAATGAAGCTAAGCGAGAACAGGGCCTAATTGTCCATCGGTGCATCAGGAGGAGATAAATGTGACCAAATATTGGTCACATCACGTGAAAGTGCATCGACCTTTTCATCCAACGAATCAAAATGACGATTTATCGTTTCGGTGGAAGCAGTCAGATTGGAATCGATAGATGCAAGCCTCAAATCAATGTTCTCCATAAAAGATCGGAAGTATGGAGGCATTTGATACTCTGGACGAGGTTGTTCATCAGGAGGTGCTAGTTCCTCGTGCTGTTCCGGCTCATTGTCGGAGTTGTCTTCTTTCGGAGGTTGCTCACCGGTACGAACCCAGAGACCAATTTCTTCATTGATCTTCCATCCCGATTTAGTTAAAGAGAATAGATTGATTTGGTTTTTGAGGGGAAATGAAGCATCAAGACCAACTCTAAGCCCAACCTTCTTAAATAGATTACTAAGAATACAACCGTAAACTAAAGAATAACATAATTTCTTATTGGGAACAAGATTTACGGTTTCGACAAGTTCATCAAAAATAATATGTGGAAGGTTAATTTTGAGATTATTTTGGACACAATGAAGCCAAAATAGATCTAAGGCTCGAAGAGTAAAGTAACGGCCTCCGGATGGTCGAAACCACCAAGAGATCATTAGGTGAAGAAAACGGTCATGAAGATCTAGAACACTTGCACTATCCATT